ATCATCCCACAATCCTCAACTAAAATTACGCATAATGCTATCTACACTACACCTACAGTAGATCTGAAGGGATGACAAAAAAGTAGAGGTAATCCCTAAATTCAGTGCAAAAGAGAGCTCACGGAGTGAGTTCATCCCAAGATAGTGGTCATTTTGACAAAATAAAAGCCTTGACACACATGGTGTGTCAAGCGGTCCCACACGGTAGTCATTGCTTGACACACCATGTGTGTCAAGCTGTCGTCAATGTGTTAAGCAAGATACTTGCGCAATAATGTTTTGGCCTGTCATATACGTACTGTAAGCATGATAAAAGAGCCCTAGAGCATAAAAACCTCATGTTCGTAATCAGCATGTGATAAAACCCTGTGGCCCATGTTTCAATGATCTGAGGTTGCCACTTAGTGAGATGGTCGTTTCCGGACATGTTACCTTTGTTTTGAAGGTGAGTCAACTACTTGTTTTTGCAGTCGATACAAAGAACTACTACTTGTTTGCTCACATTAGGAATCCCACTTCATATAACTTCCAAACTAAAGAATTAAGAACAAACCATAATCTTATTTGTTCCATTTCTCGCTTTCAGTATCTTAGATTAGAGAAAACCAATCAGGCTTAAGTCACACTTGTTAAATTACGAAGCTTAGACTATCAGACACATTTATTTCGGCCTCCCCTTGCTATTCACGTAGTAGCGCAGGCTCAGTATGTTACCGTAACCCAATACTTCGCAGTATTTGCCACTTTGCATAGGTAAGAAGAAACGACTATATCCCTAGAAGAAACGGTCTTGAATGAAATTCCCACTGAGTAAAGAAGATGGTTAAGCAGTAACAACGATATAAAAACGCAGGTATATCGATGGTTTGAAGGTACAGTCGAGTAGATTTTCTGCTTAATATAGTGTCCCTGCAGACGCGACAACGCTGGGGCGTCAATGAATGCCTTGCGAGTTCCCGAGCTAGTGTTTTCCGGTGTTTTCTTTGCTTATTTCATGCTTTTTAGTTGATTCGTTGTTGATAAAGATGAAAAGGGTAAGTTAAAGAGTAGTTTCTGTTTTCTGAGAAGATCTATTATCGCATATTCACAGATATCCACGTGGAAGCATTTCGCGTCAGCTTCTTGTCTATTTTTTGTCATTTCCTTTTCTTCTGTCACTTCTTCTTTCAAACCTCCTCCTTCTTGTGAGGCGTTTCTTTGAACGCTAGTTGGCTTGTCTTGCAGCAACTTCGGTTTTCATCCATAAGAAATAGCATTTTAATCAAGTACTTCCTGTGATAGAAACACTAAGTCAATCGTAAAAACCCACTAGCGTTCAAAGAAGTACTTCACAAGAAGAAAGAGACATGAAGTGACAAAGAAATAGACAAGAAGCTGACGCAAACTGCTTCCACGTGGATAACTGTGAATATGCGATGATAGAACTTCTCAAAAAACAGAAACTATTCTCTAACTAACCCTTTTCTTCTTTATCAGCAACGAAGTACCTAAAAAGCATAGAATAAGCAAAGAAAATTTGGAAAACACTAGCTTGGGAACTCATTAGGCAATTATTGACGCCTCAGCGTTGTCGCGTCTGCAGGGACACCATATTAAGCAGGAAACCTACTCGATTGTAAGTCAAGAGGGTGTGGAACAACCCCTAAAAAGGCGTGGCAGCCACAGCTGTTTTGGAGTTGTGCCACATTCTATAAACTCACTTTCAAAGAATATTTCAGGGGACAATTTACATACAGTTCGCTAGCCAAAATCTCGTAGTTTTTGTAAAGAGCAATAGTTACTGGAAGAACAACTGTAAGCGAAAAATGGGACAAAAGAGATTTTGGCTAGCTCTTAATTCCACAGCCTGTTGGTTGTTTGAAGCATGATTCATGGTGTGGGCAAATAGGGAGCACTGCTTTGTACTGAGTACTTTTGTACTTTGTACAAAAGGAGGTGGCTAATTCACGTTTGAACTATATTAAACCATGCTTGAAAATGGCCACTTCACTTGGTTGGCCAGTATTGGGAACCCTCAGAAGTCGCTAAAACTTGATCCACAGGGGTTTTTGATATGATAATCACAAGTAGTCACTAATAATGCTTGGCAGAGCTTTTATGTCATGCCTACTGTAGGTTAACGAAAATGCAGGGTGGGTATCGAGACAGAACATCGAGGGGTCGTATCCGGAGTTTTGTCAGAAATCTCAAACGTCATCTTTGTTTCTCTTAAGGGCCACAATTGGTAGGTTATTTTTTGATGACCCTTTTAAAGCGGAGGAGTGTTCAACCCACTGCTTGGCCTTTCCCCTGCTACTGTACTTGGTGTGTGGTCGATTAATTTGCTACGTTTTCTGTTCTTTTTTGGCGCACCTCTGAGTGCATTAACTAAAATAAAATAATAAAATCTGTACATATTGGGTTGTTAACTAAGTTATGCGACCGCTTTTATAACTTCTCCCTCTTTGTATATGACACACTCAAATATTTCTATCACGCAGGTTGTGGCGTAAGCTACGAGCAGCAACAGTTTTGCAGAATACTAACGTCGCAGCGAGGGTTACGGTTTGTATGGTATAAGGGGAAAAATTGTAATATTACAAATTTGTTCGAAACTTTGCATAGGTGTGTTATGTGACATGATGATAAGCGATGTTGATTTTACATGGTAGGGTCTTTTTTGTAAGGTTACAGTAGGTTTGCGGAATGGCATCTCGCGCTAAACAAGAGAAGAGGCGTTAATTTGATGAATGATTATGACGTTTTATTCGGCATGGGAAACAACCCCACCATGCAAAGTTTTGGCGAATTCTGAGACTTCGACTCTTTAGTGATTGACGCTTGTCCTTAAAGGCAGCGTCCAGGCAGATCTGAGCTCGACGACCACGCCCACTTCCCTCGACGGCCAACCCCTTATGAACGAAATCTCCTCAGCCTTGACTTGTTTTCACATGACCAATACAGTCGAACTTACAGCGTTTACCTGTTAATACTTGCTTTCGACAAGGATAACATCAGAAGCACTCGTCCGGGTTTTCCCAAAATAGCCCCAAAAGGTGGTTTTCTGAGAAATTCACGCTTTTTGAGTTCCATATTTGGAATCAGCGCCATGGAAAGGCCTGGATAACATAAAAATATAGAAGTCGAGAATCTGCCTGAACGCTGCCTTTAAGCAGCTTTGCGTGCAGCGGCTCGTTCAACTTTGTGAGGGCGTCAGTTCTTGAGTTGTCTTGAATTCCATTTCTTCCTTACTGCGCTAGACAAGTCATCCTCTAGTAACAATTTGTCACAGTTTTCTTGTGCATAATCTGGGTTAGAAACGGCTTCATTTTCAAAACTCCAAAAATCCTCGGGTTTTACCAGTTTTCGAAAAACTCTTGGATTTTGTCTATTCTGCCATCAGAAAGCGGACTTAGTTGCAAAACTTAGTTAACACCTATTATATTAAGCTGAGTATTTTGAATTGTCAGTTAATGTGTTTTTTATAGAAAGTTTTGTGTGTAGACCAAATGGCGCGAAACTTCGCACACTATTATCGACTCCCCCCCCCTCCTTTCCCTCGTAGGCTACTTTTCGCGACGAAATTCCCGCTCCTTATATTGATTTATCAAATTTGAAGAAAAATGAACTCTTATCAATACTATCAAGCCACATTCACTTTCGTATAAACAATAGTGGTAGAACTCATTTCTGTTCCACGGGGTGAGATGCGGTAATTCAAGGCGATGCGATTAGAAAGCCTACATGTGTTGCGCGTGAAGTAGAAGAAAGCCAACACGCAGTGAGTTGAGCTTTGAAAGTTGTGTTCAGTCTTGCACTTTGTTGAGCCAGTTGAATCCTCTATGCGGGCGGAGCCGGGCATGCCAGCCAGTGACTTATATGAAACCGCTAACCTGTCGGTCTGTAAGTTGGCCCGTTACGAAATTAATTTGAAATGATGTACAGTATTAAGCGTTAGCTAGTATGGTTCATTTTTGCTACGGTTCTAACGCTGCAGACCGGCAATGATTTGACAGACAAGCTCTCAGTGCGTGAGGTTATCATCGTTCCTGCTGGCCAGTGCGAACCTCCGCGAAGCAGAGGCGAAGCACTTGTATTTGTATAAGTCATTCAAATTTCTTTACATTACAAAATCTGTCGAATATCTACACATTCGAAATTTATTCGAATATCCATTTGGGTTATGACCCAAATTTATGAATTCAATCGAAAAATTCTTGCCCAAATTTCAGTTTTCGAATATTCAAGACTATTATTCACGAATATCAGTCACGAGCTGTCAGAAGTAAACAGAAAAAAGCTTCAGCTCGCTCCATTTTAATGTTTTGTTACTTGATCGTCATAAACACAAATATACAACCTGCAAAGATATTAGACATGAAGACAAAAGGTGTAGTCGTCTAGTAAGAGGAGAGAATCGAAGAAAGTAAGACGAGTAGATAACGGTCGCAAATGTGACGATGGGCTTCCGGGTAGCCGCGCACCACCTTATAGTCCAGCTTACTGATCATGCATCACATGCGCATGCTTCAATAATTTTCCTTAAAACGGTGTTCAAGAGGTCGTGTCAATTTCATTGCTGAGCAGATAGACCTGCACGAAACGCCGTCACGCAAGTGAGAAATTTGCTCCAGAAGGAGAAGGGTGGCATCTCTTTTATTTAAATCTCACCCAACTGCAATTCTTCATTTCAGCGCTCGGATGCGCATGCCACCCGCGATTAAGAATCAGATTCAGCAGCGACCTGTTTTACTGTTCTAACACAATAATTTGAAAAAAAAACCCTTGTTTCTGCTGTTTTTGCACTCTTCAAGTTAGATTCTTAAAAGCACAGATAAACGAAAAACAGTTTTATCTAGATGCTGATTCTGACGCCATTTTATTGACAAAACCAGCGCTCGTAACCTGAACTTGTAGAGGTCTTTCAGACTTCAAAAACAGACTTGAGACCAGCGTCACACATTGATGATTTCAGTGTACATATTTCTTCCGGAAGGCCACTTAATTTGCCCTTTCTCTAGTCAATGGCAGTCGTTTATATTAAAACTTTTGTTTATGTCGCTGGCGATAATTTTTTTCCCTTTGTAGATGTCCTCGCACAAATTGCACATCGCACTGGTTTGATATATTGGCTTGCGGTAATATTGCGTCCATGCAAAGTACCTGAAAATACAAAAATCGCAAAGTACTGATGATTCAAGCTAAGACCTTTAGGCATTCGTTTACCTTTGTCTCCACCCCATTATCAGCAAGACATTTGATTCAGTAAAAATTAGATAGACTAAATCATATGCCTATTGAGTCTTGTCCCAAAATTTTATGCTTTTTTGATTGTTTTGTGAAACTCATAGAACATCGAGCAACAAACTTCTTATTTACATTCAAATTAGTATTCGTCTGCTCTATGCCTAGGGTTTCCTTTGCTCTCAATTCTATTGCAATATCATGGTTTTGGTTATTTGGAAAATCTTGCTGCTGCAAACATAATCCCAATAAATTTTTGAGAGTCTTCAAATTCTGTATTGCGCTAACAGCAGCCGCTAGGCAATGGTTTCAGTCATCGAAAGATAATTCAATAATTCAATGAGTTTTCACTCGAGATCAACTCGTACAAGATGCTGTTCGAAAGTGATGACTGAAGAAAGTCCCTGCAATCTGTTGCAAAGTGCCAGAGGCGTACCCAAGATTTCGGAAAGAGGGGAGGGGGGAGGGACAAAAATTTTTTGATGTAGGTGCGTGGCGTTAGCCACATTTTGGAAAAATTTTGGCATGCTTCCAAAACTTTTGCGGGCATACATCCGATTTTAGAAAAAGGGGGCGTGATGAGAGCCACGGCCCCAAAAAAATTTTTTTATTAAGCTAAATGAAAGTTTGAAAATTTTCAAATTATTTTGATTATTTACTATGAACAAGTCATTTGCACATTTTTATAACTCTTGTAAGTAACTTTCAAGAATTTCGCGATCCATTCTCGGCGAAGACCTTCCGTTGGTACGCCACTGTAAGGTGCACATCTTCAATGCTAGACAGAACGTCTAAACTAGCTTTCATATAAAATGTCTTTAACACTCACAGCAGTAAGCGGCAACAGATTACGCTTAGTTATTTTAGTGCAATCAACTTTTTGCTTTACATGAGGCCAGTGGGTGCCTCCACATTCAGATATGAAGCACTACTAGTATGGTACAGGCGGTGATTCAGTTTTGTTCAAATCAAATATATGTTATACTAACGCATAAGAGGAGGATCTCAACTACCATAAAGTAAAAATTAGTGAAAATTATTCTGCAAGTATTCAGTTAATTTCTACAAAACCAACTTCAATTTGTCAAATATGTCCGTTTCATAATAACAAGGAATTTTCAAACTTCTAACCTCCCACAACATAAACGCTACTTACGGTTTCGCATGACGCTGCAATAATTGCATTTGCGCAAGCATTCTTTGTCCCACAAAAACATTTGTTAGCACAAAAAATGAATTTAAGCACGACGAATGCAGTGATCTAGTTGATTAGTAAGCACAAGCACACAAGCCACAATCTATTGGAAGAGTTGGAACACCAGTAGAGATAAAATACCTGTGCAAACATTCTCGCCTTACAGTGATAGATTGTTCGAAAAAGTTCTAGGATCTGGTGTATGATGTTGGCAACGTATTTATGTGAAGTATATATCAAGACAGGCTGTTACGGTGGTACCTCTAATGAATTTACTCTTCTACACTGCCTCTTATTCGGAAGTCTGAAAGTGCAGTTTTCTGCTGTCTTCGAAACTACAGGACCAAACACCATCCTTAGCCAACCGTCCAAGCATCGTTCTTTGTACGACATACTATTAACATATAGATAAGCACAACGAACCTCAGACCCACTGTTAGTAGAAAGCTATTAGCCGTACAGCAGCGGACGACACTGGGCGTTACGCCGTTGAGGCATTACTAACTTTCGATTAACATCGCTGTGGATCTAATGCTCGTTGCATTCTTCAATATGTTAGCACGTTGGCAACAGAATGTTTAGATCGAGCTGCATTTAGAGGAGGCAATTGGCTGCGTAGTTTGTAGTAGGAAAGTATTGCAATCTACTCCTAGACTACTCAAGAAAAGTACAGTGTCGAAACGTAAAGCCAATGAGGCTACCATCGTAACAACCTGTATCTGGCATGAACATCACATGAATACGTGAACATCAAGTGCCCAGGTGGTTTATTGAAGAGAGAAGATGGAACTTGTTTATCAATAATTAGCTTTCATGGCTTGGGGTATCTCGCCGCAGCCGCCGCTAGCAGCCCGTAGCAGCCGCTGGCACCGCGTAGCAGCCGCTGGCAGCCCGTAGCCGCCGCTGCCCGCTTTTGTCATAGAAGCGTAAAATCACCAAATTCTTACTGCTTTGAGTGCGCCCACGCTGTCTATCTTCCACGCTTCTTTCTTCCTATTTCCGCTAATGTGCAGTTCCACACTCACACATCAAAGAGTTATTCAAGATAAGCACCGGCCAAGGCTATGATTGGAACAGAACCATACTTAAGAAATAACCGTGAAGATTCTTTGACGAAATTAGTTCAACTGCGAGAGGGAAACTGAGTACCAATAGGATAATCAATCTACGACAACAAGATTTTAACAACAATGGACAAAAGATGATATATGAGATTGAATTGCGACAACGGGAAGGAAAAAAGTGGAAGATGGAAGGCGAGCGTGTTTGCACTTAGAATAGTAAGAATTTGATAATTTTGCGCTTCTATGCCAGAAGCGGCCAGCCGCGGCTACGGGCTGCTGGCTGCTGCTGTGGGCTGCTGCGAGCTGCTATGGGCTGCTAGCGTCGGCTGCCGGCGCGGTATGAAGGAACCCTTAATGTCTTGGATACGTAACAATGATAATGACCAATAAAAAAGGCAAACGAAATAATACGACAACAATGTTGATAGTAACTAACCTAAGATAAGCTGTATCATTTTTGCGCAAATAATTCAAGTATTCTCCCAGTTCAGCGACAGAATTAAAGTCGTCAGCTGCTATGAAGGAATCGGGTGGAATTCCGGTATCTGGATATCCCATTGAAAGATTGTTGTAGCTTTTACATGTCGTACCTGTATAAATTTTTCTTTCCAGTACAACGGGAACAAGTAATTCGGTAATTCTGACGTAGAACTTCTCAGTGATGTATTCGTCGCAAATGCTATTCTCGAATGCAAGATAGAAGCGATGTGTAGCTGCAAGAAGAACAAAGTAGCTTATGAGTGAAAAAAGGCAATTTGGGGAAGCGAACCTATCAGATCATCATCTCCGCAATTTGACTTGCAAAACTCACTTCCCAAGCTGTTATTTACAGATAATTGTTTCTCACATTTACCTCTGACGGTAATTTCGGTATACCTACCTAGCTCTCTAAATTTGTACATATTAGGTTGTCTCATGAGTTTTTTCAATTTTGTCTTTTCACCGCATAAGTTATATATCAGGTTGTCTTATAAGTTTCGTCCGTTTTAAATTTCGAGCGCAATAAGTCATCCACTTCTCATTTCCGATTAGGTTTCAAGGTAACATTCGATAGAGCGAAGCAAGCTCTATAAGATGGCTATCTCGTTTTTGCACCAGCCCTGATCCATGTCGAATTTTCAAGGCGAAAACTAAAAAGATCTAACTGCCCAAAAAATTGAGAAAAAATCCTAACTTTGTTTAGAAAATCCTACAAAGTTTCTAGCTTGCTCGCGTAAACACTATCCATTTAACACGTTTATATGCGCTGTTGCCGTATTATTTCCTCGGCTAGGATTCGAGAAAATGGAGATTTTCATGCTTTTGCCAAAGTGATGCTGTGCTGTTTCTACATAATTACTTGTATTAAACTGTAGAAGTACAAATACAGAGCGTCCCATAAAAATGTGAACACTGTTTGATCGTTAATAAAACCATTGCTTTCATACCTTTCGCCGAGCATAAGGTACCATTCTGTAGAGTGAGTTTCAACTTAGATTTGCAGTGTGGAGCGAATCACCGATCGCTCTTCGCTACTGTAGGATTACGATAAGAACTTTCAGCATGTGAAATCGTGACGAAATATGCCGTCTGACAAAATGTTTTTCAAAAAATCTGAAAAAAATTGTGTACTAGGGTTTTCGTGCACGCTGTTTCTAATAAAAACCTTTTTACGAGTGTTTTCAGCTTTTTTGACGGTGTAATGACATTTCTGACAAATGTAAGAATTCACTTATTACGGTCTCCTTGGGATAACTTTGGAAAGAGGCATCACAGGAAAGTGAAAATTTCATAATCGTAATCAGCGACACCCATTACCATAGTATAAGAATTTTTGGCTTTTTCGTTTTGATCCTAAGCAGAACATGGCCTCCAACGGCCTAAAATCCTGTCGAAGTTCCTAACGTAGTCTTAATCATTAATGAAGAGTGATTGGTGATTTCGCTCCATACTGTAAATCTAAGTTGAACCTCGCCCTACAAAATGGTAGCTCAAGCTCGGCGAAAGACATGAAAGCAAGGGAGTTATCAATGATCAAACAGTGTTCACATTTTTTTGGGACACCCTGTATATTAGGTCGATTTCGAATGAGCGCCATTATTCGTGGAATCAACATTTTCAAGAGATCCTAGGAGCATTCGATGCAGCATTTTATCCTCTTTCTAATGGTTCTAACGCCATGGCATAATATATAATGAGCCCTCGAAAAATTACCAAAATCTGCGAATCATGCTTTTTGCCATAGTCAAGTTCGGCTATTTTTCTATATTTTTGTACCTAATCTCCGAAAAAGTACAAGGGGCAGGTAGATAGAGCAAACATTATAGAACACAGAGTAATTTTTTCTTTTCCTTAGCTTGCTTCTCTGAGTTTCTATACAGTCAATTTCTCAATGCCATCAAATTCCATATTTAGTCAAGTCAAACCTCACAGAACAAAAACCGGCAAGCGACTCGGGTGTCATTCGATGCAGCTTTTTCTCCTCTTTCTAACAGTTGTTTTTTTTTTCGATTCATCAGGTTTTCCGGGATAAAATCATCATAATGCAGGTTTTCCAGGGCGCCCCGAGCTGTACCCGGAATTTTCTAAAGTTGCTAATCTGAAGCGGTGAATTGGTTTGTAAAATTAGTGTCAAACCATAATCCATCTTTGTAATTTTCAAAATCAGGAGACTTGTTGGCGTTTGATGCACTTGTGTCTGAGACGAGCCTGCTAAAATTCGGTGGTTCCATCAAAAAATCTATACAAAAGTTATGACAAGCTCTGGAAAGTAGAAAAAAGTTGTGCTGTTTCTTGTAGGGTCTGCTCCATCCATTCATTACTTGGACTCCTTCTGAGGTTTGTTATAAAATTTTAGAAAAATTGTGAAACTTGGCCATCTCAAAATGCATAGGTCGCAGATTTTGACTTTTTTCTGGAAGCTCATTGATTGTATTGCAGCAACTTCATAATCATTAGAAAGAGAATGAAATGGTGCATCAAATGCTACCAGAATCTCTTACACATCTTTGTTCCACGATGTGGCATACGTTTGAAAAAAGCGACATTACTTTCGGAACGACCTAATAAATCTTTAGCTTCCTACAAGCTTTGGATAGTACAGCTTGCCTTAGCTGGGTGCCTTACGCCGAAATCTATCTTCCTCGAAAACCAAAGATTGTAGGGAGCTGAAAATTTCTATTTGTACTTCTACAGGCTAGTAGTATACAAGTAACACGTAGGAACAGCACATCATCGCTTTAGCAAATCATGAAAATCTTCGTTTTCTAGATATTTAACCAAGAAAAAAAAATACGGCAACGGCGTATATAAATGTCTCAGATGGATAGTGTTTACGCGAGCAAGTCAGAATTTTTGTAGTTTTTTCAAACAAAGTTATGATTTTTTCTCGATTTTTCGGGCAGTTGGATTTCTTTTAGTTTTCGTCTTAAACTTCGAGATGAATCAGAGCTGGTGCAATAGCGAGATAGCCATCTTCTAGAGCTTGCTTTGTTCTATCGAAGGCTACCGTGAAACCTATTTAGAAACAAGAAGTTCGCGATTAATTGCAGTTGAAAATCAAAACGGACGAAACTTATGGGACAATTTGATACTTTCAATTCTGATTGAAGTGCAGGGTACCATTCGATAGAACAATTCGATAGAGCAAAACGAGCTTCATAAGATGGCATGTAAATTTTGCATCAACTTCAGCACATCACGCGCTAGAAGCCGAAAACTGAGAACTTTCGAATGATGGAACATTTGAAAATTTCTCGCACCTTTGTCCAAAAGAAACATACCAGATCCCGAACTTGCTCACGCATATACACTCCCCATAAGACATTCATATGTGCCGCTGCTGTGTTTGTTGCTAGAAACGGAGAGAGCTAAAATTTTAAGATTTGAATAAAGTAATGATGCGCTGTTTTCATATATTTAAATGCATGCTACAAACCATCAGAAATACATCGGTAAACTTTCAGTCTTAGAAGCGCCAGTTCTTGAGAAATGCTGAATTTAGCTTTTTTGGTGTTATTTTATGTTGAGATCAATATTTTTCGGTAACTACAGCTTATAGAAAGTTGAAAATCTCTGATTGTACATTCAAAGGCTTGTGGTACACATTTACTTATCTGAGAACAGAGCAGCATCGGTTTGGAAGCTTGAAAATATCATTTTTCAATTTTCAGCACAGAAACAAATACAGCGATGGTATATATAGGCTGTACCAAACATCACTGGTTATGCGAATCGCGCCTGCGGCAGCTTACGACGGTGCGGTGTTACACGTGCGAAGCCTGCCATGTTTCTTGATTGTTGATTCTGATTCTTGATTTGTTCTATCGAATAATACCCTGCTTGCTGATTGGAAATGAAAAATCTGTGACTTATTGCGGTAAAAGGAAAAAAATTGAAAAAACTTATGAGACAGTTCTTTTGGATTGATTTCTTAGCAGCGTCCAAGATTGGTACAGATATTTACTCTACAATCACAATATACAGACTGATGTTTCGGCAAACTCGCCTTCTTCAGAGTCTGAAAAGTTGGAAACACATGAGTGAACTAGCCGATCAAACAGCCTGTCGACTACAGAAAAGAGCCCAACCCTTTAGAAAGCAACAGCGTCAACCAAAACGCAAGATTAAGCCAGTGCTCACCTTAGCATATGATAATTTGATGGGTGCAGACCACTTATGTCAAAAGCTGTACTGCTTTACTTTTATAGTAAACTAGTGACCCGGTTCTGACCTGACCCCATTATTCAAAAGCCACGGAGGCTCTGATATGGTGACAGCTCGTTAGGGATGGCTAGGCACTCGTCCTTCCGGTTGATTTTTGGATTTTGGGCGGCTATCCAAGACGCTTCGAGTGTCTTGCGCGCTAGGATTTCGGGTTCACGCACCAGGATTCGAACCTGCACCCCCACCTCCGCGTCGTCATGGCTGAGCCTGCGATGCATGCCTAACGGAGTAGCTACATTGCCCTTGCTGAGACCATCTAAGTGTTTTTTGATGCGCGTGCATAGGGGGCGGCCCGTTTTGCCAATATACGTGTTTGCACATGTTGTACACGTGATAAGGTAGACAACACCTGTTATCATACAGTCTCCTTCCTTGCCAAACGGACAAATCACACAATGAGGAGTTGTACAGAGACGGTCGTACTCGCGGTTACGTATTAGTTGCTGTTTAAGGTTTGCGGGAGGAATGTCGACGATCATTACCATATCGTTGAGGTCTGCTTGATGGAGCGCTTTGCGAACGGCCCTGCTAAACTTCTGAGATGAATGGTAGACAGAATGGAATTTGGTCTTCAGCTTCTGATCTAGGCGGACGATGAACCCGGTATCTGTGAGAACGATGAATCTCTGTGCTGTATCCATTGGATCTTGCTACGGATCTTGCAAGTTCCAGCGAGTGCATCTTTTCATCTTTATCAGAAGAGACCCCACAGCCGTTTTAAACATGTTACCTATGATAGATGCTTTTATTCGTGCCGGATGTGCTGAAGAATGGTGTAAATGGTGTACTAAGATATTCTTGCTGCTCGGCTTTCGGTACCATCTGGTCTTGAAACGTCTGTTCGACAAACTTAACTGTACATTAAGGAACGGCAACCATCCATTTTGGGTTTTTCCCTCGTCATCTTAATGTTGGCGTCCTGGGCATCGAAAATATTGAAGCAAGTATCAAGTTCGGCCTGAGTGGGACACACGATACAGCAGTCGTCTACATACCGACAGTAGAGGAGAGGCCTACTTGCCAAAACTGGGGCTTCCACCTTAGACATGAACACAATCGCTAAAGTGGGCGCTAGTCTTTGTCCCATAACCAATCCTCTTATTTGCCTGTAATAGTTGCCACACCAACGAAAGATGGAGCAGTTGAGGCATTCTTTAACCAACGACAAGATGCCTCTGATGCTAAGACCGTAGAGGTTGAGTGACGACTGGTGTTCTAAAATAAATTCGAATGTCGCTTGCATCGCGGCGTCGTCGTTCCAAAAATCAACCGGAAGGACGAGTGCCTGATATGGTGACAGCCATTACTAACGAGCTGTCACCATATCAGAGCCTCTGTGGCTTTTGAATAATGGGGTCAAGAACCGGGTCACTAGTTTACTATAAAAGTAAAGCAGTACAGCTTTTGACATAAGTGGTCTGCACCCACCAAATTATCACCTGCTAAGGTGAGCACTAGCTTAATCTTGGTTTTGATTGACGCTGTTGCTTTTCTAAAGGGTTGGGCTCTTTTATGTAGTCGACAGGATGTTTGATCGGCTAGTTCACTCTTGTGTTTTCGACTTTTCAGACTCTGAAGAAGGCGAGTTTGCCGAAACGTCAGTCTGTATATTGTGATTGTGGAATAGATATCTGTACCAATCTTGGACGCTGCTAAGAAATCAATTCAGAAGAACTGAACTATGCCAAGATTTATGGATAGTCGAACATGGATTCTTATGAACGATGTACTTATGAGACAACCTAATAGATTGCAATAATTAATTCAGAAAATGTCCTACCTGATTACATCTTCACGTTTGGAAATTGTCCGGCAATGTGAAACAAAAATCAGGGAACCTTTTGTCTTCCTTTTGAGTGCGGCGAGAAGCTGTAAGGGTGTATAAGAACGATCTTTAGAAGGCTTTGCATGAAAGCGGTAAATGTTGAGGGTGCAGATTGACATGTTGTGTGGTATCAAAAAATCGTTAAAGTGTGGTCTATGGAGCCCCAAACCTGAGGATCAGCAGTGAATGGAGCAAAGAGTAAACGAATAGTTGAAATGTGGATTTCAACATCAACATTGCTAGCACTATTTGACTTCACAAAATGCGAAGCTACGTGCTTTCTTGTGAACGACCATATAAGGAACACAAAAAACAAAGTATTTGGCGTCTTTAATACCCTCTGCGGGCATGCGGCGAATGCATACTACTCTATGATCAAAGAAACTTTGGCATGGGTGTCAAGCTTGATAAAGACGGGTTCAGGCGTTTAGAATGTCAGTGTTTTTATCCTCCCAGATTGCCATGGTACCATTTTCCGTTCCCATTGTAGAGGGCTTAGTCGCCAACCTTGATTGCAACGAATTAGCGACGCCTTACACTACTACTCTACTCGTCCCACAAAGCCGCGAAGGTCTAGAAAATACTCAAAAGTTTGTCATTCTTAAGGAATTAATTTCTAAGCTTATATGCGCGTCTTCAATGACTGGAATTTGTCGTCGTTCGCTAATGTTGTCTATCTACAGCTTGTCGACTAGTAATCGTTAAAAGATGTTTTTGAGGCATGAAAATGTGCAAGTTATCAGCAGAATAAAATGTAAACCATACAACGCCTTCCGAAGCTGCAGCCTCCAAAGCATATGCGCTTCACAGTTTGATAGTGGATTGTTATTAACCTGCGAATGAAGTGTATCAAGGCTGCTTGCGAAGGAAACACTTTACATGATGTAAAACCGCACTTTAGATTCTTCAAATGCAAACACGCTACGAAAATTCACGTTGAGCTTAACACCATATAATACCTTTCAATTCATGATGTACCGCTAAAATTGGCTATATAGCAACTATATACCTGTTCTTGTGTGATGATAGAGAATGCAGGATCTTTTGGTGACCTTTGTTCGAAGCTACCATATTTAAAAACATACTGCGAGGTCCTTTTGTACGTCATAGTGGCGTTGAAGTAGTCCGGTGGGATCTGGATTCGTACATTTTATGGGCTGTAAGCTTTGACAATTTATGTACTTAGGGAAAGATGACAGCAAGCAATATGATTGTAACAATGGTGCTCTGGCTTTTTTGCATAACACAAATAACAAACTATCTGTTTTTACTTGCTTTTGTGCTGACGCGGTTACAGTTTTAACGTGCTTGTACAACGGAAACTTCGACTTGACGAATTAGATCACAGCAATAATGCTCCCTTTTTCCCGCTCCATTTTCATGTATATCTGGGGTGTAAAATTTAAACTTACAGAGCCGAATGTACGCAAAACCTTCGACAATGTTTATGCGACAACGCAGAAAAAGTACTCGCTCTTGTTTGCTTTCATCCTTTTTCAAGTAAATGTTGTTTACTGCAGCTCGACGCAATGCAAACTTATTTTAAAGAGACCACTTTCCTTTGACAGCCTACTTGCCTCCTGCCAAAGAATCAATTTCCCAACAGTTATTGGCGGGAGGTTTCCACATAAAGCTTGCCACATTCTTCAAAATATGTATCACCTAGATTCTCAGTTTTTACTCTTTGATACCACTAACCATCTCCTGTTCACACACAAGATTCCATGCTACACCTTAGTCAGTGCGGTAAAATAAGTCAATTATTTACTGCTCTGTACAAACCTAGTTTTTGCAAAAAAAAATTCTGTGCTTTGAGCAAATTGAGCATGCGAGCTGTGGTAATTGCGAAAATGATCTCAATTTAGATTTATCATATTATTTTAGTTTCTCTCAGAATCACCGGCCTGGCATCCGTGACCCCCGTGCCGGGTGCCTTCGATATCAACAAATTTGGCTGGATGGTTCACCCACTCGAAATTTCCCATATGCCTCCACAGTGGCTGGTGATTCTCTTTCGAACAAAATGATCAGATACTGTGAACTTTGATTTGGCAAGTCATCATAGTGAGTATCGCGTCCATGAATTATGTAAGCGGAAGCTGATAGATTGCTGAAAAAATTGTAGGCTAACTGCTATTTCACATGTGCAACCCTTTTACCGTGACTCTTGTTCCTCCCTGTCAACAAGTTCGCATCGGTATTTGCACTTGCTCAACAGTGGACCCAAAAAAGTCACCAGATTATGTTTCCAATATATCTTCCAGACAACTATCAAGGGTGCCCAAAATACGAATGTGGTGTAGTGTGATTACATCATAGAACTGGACAGCTAATCTTCACTTGAACTGCAACTTACTTGTGTCGCCATAAACGGCGCAATCGTAGTGCTATAGCTACTAGAAATGTAAAAAAACGTAAGTGGTGTAACAAACAAAAACATCAGCGTGAACGATAACTTGAAAAGAAGGCTTTGCTGATGAAGTCCCTCTATATCGTGCGAAAGTGGGCTACAAATAGATAGGTGGGTTAAAATGCAAACTCGAAGATTTTATAGCAAGCGCTTGATTTTCACCAACTACTGGTGGATATAAAGGCAAGCGTCGAGGTTTTTTCAACAAGTATCATAAAAGATCGTTTGAAATTAGCAGAATACCAGTCATTTGAAGGTAACAGTACACAACGATGTATACTACAAAGAGCTCAATTTTTCAATCAGAATTAATTTGACAGCAGAAAAAACAGGTGTCTTAAACTTCGACGATGGGCCCTCACTATCGAATTTTGTCAACTTTTAAATATGAAAAGTTACTATGAAAACAAAACCCTCCCTAAAATCCACGACTACCGACACTGGGATTTTCTTGTGCTATCTTCCCATAATATTTGGCGACTTTTGGGCAACAAAGAATCAACACGAAATCAACATAGGTATTTTTTAAGATCCTCCTCTAATTTTCCCTAAGCCAAATTCCTCCGACAATCTTTCCCAAAATTACTTTTGGAGCAGTCAAAGCACAGAGCGACGATAGTCCTACAAAAAATAATCGCAACTCTAAGATGATGCCCTAATTTTCAGATTAGGCAAAAATATGCCTTAACAATACATTTATAGATCGTTATGCCTAAGAAAACTCCCCCACGATTCCGAAAGGAACTCATTCTTAGCTCTTAAAAAGCCCCAATTTTTCAGAAACTTCGACAACGAAAATAAACACTATTTTTTCAGACTGCTTTACGCGCTGCTAGACAATATATTATTTCTAAGAACTACACTTTTCACCACCGAACTATCAAAAAATGCCGCCATTTTCCCTGAATACTTGAACCGACCTGTGATACTTTAACAGGAGATCCTAGACTGTATTTGATCATCACAAAGTCTATGAGCATACAAGGATACCACATGCTTGCTTAATGAGAACACAAACTTGTACAATGCCAAGAGAAGGATACAAATAACAATTCTCGATTCAATTACATCAAGAAGTACACATTTGTGAAGTGGGCGGAGGCTTTTAGACTTTGTTAAAATGCCCTAAGTGCCGCTCATAAACAATTGCTAACAAAGGAGAGTGCTCTGAATGCTGCAAAAAGAAAAAACTCACAAGGGAACGATACTCGGTGTCCGTGGCCTTGTGAATTGAGATGTATACCATTACACTCGTCTTGGGGCGCTCAATCCGAATCTGACTTCTGTTTTTAATAGTTTTTCTGAAAAAGTTATGAAGGATTTTTGCGCCAAAAAAAATCTGGTCGGAATGCCAAAATCGCCGCTACCATGTGGTGTAGTGGCGAGTGCGATAGCACCACGAGTTAAAGGCAGTGTCTCACCAAGATTTAATTACCGAAATTTTTGCATTTTGCAAGCCTGTCGGACTCTGTCTAGCACTGTATGGGCTTAAAATCGCACAAAGTTCCCAAAAACCCCGTTTTCTGGAGGCCCCGCGGAAGCAATGTGGACGAGTTGTACCTTCCAACTTCAGCCTTAGCCACAGTGGCAGCAACAGAGGGAAGGTGGATGCCAAGTGGAGGGACATGTTCAAACGCGTAAGGGGGGAGACCGAAGGAGTCGTCCGCGCGTATCAACTGGCTCTCCGCGTACCACTTTGAGCGAATTTTTCTCAGCGTAGAGGGGCTCAAATTGAGTGGGACTTGTTGCAATGGCCTATCTAAAGGTCCCTACAATAGAATATGTAAAGATCCCCGCGACCTCAACTTTGGTGAGACACTGCCTTCAATGCAGGTTTAGGTTCGAGGCCTTTTGTGCTTTTCAGTTCTATATGGCCTCAATCAAGCCTTCTTCTTGATTATGAAAATTAGACATCTTCGACCTTTTTTTGGACAACCATTGACGCGCAAATCCTTTATAGCGTCTTTGAGAAAAACGATTAGCAGAAACGGAAGTCAGGCGGAATCAGCGTTTCAAGACGAGTGTGATGGTATACGTTTCGTCTCAAAAGGCCGCGAACGCCAACTATCGTTTCGTTGTCAGTTTTAACTCTCAGAATGAAGCACCCTTTCTAAAATTGAAACTGCAATCTCATTAAAGAATTGTTCCCTGGAAATAAAAAAGAATTTGTCTTGAATACTTGAAGTGACCCATTTGTTGTTTTGTGAGATTTGGTGTTAGGCTTGAAATTAGCCACTCAAATTTCTTACTTGACAGAAATAGCTTAAATAAAATTTATTGACCATTATTTCTACAGCGTTTTATCATCTCCTCTATAAATCTGTAGTAAAGAAATAACGGTCCAAACTGTACAAGGCAAAAAAGACTGTTTGAAACTTTGACGATCATACTAGAGAACGCGAAAGAAATTAGTTTGAGAACTTAGTTGCTAAAGAGAAAAGGAAGCTATTGTTTTCAGAATAACTGTTTGTCACTCTGTATGGTGAATAGAAACACAACATCTCAGCCCTTTGCAACGATCTTTCTCATAATGAAGAATGGTACAGATTAGCACTCTCATGCTGAAATGAGGTGAATGATTGAGGTAGGTGTGAGAGTACTGGAGGGGGGGGGGGGATTTCTAAACTTGTTGTTTTGAGCTGCTTACTCCCCCTCCCATACTCAACCCCCACTTACGATATAATCTTCTATTCAGGAAATCCCAACCCT